GTCTCCAGTGAGTGTCTAGTTTCATTCTGTCCATCTTCTAATCCCCACCTGATTTATTGTTTTAGCAGAATACTGAGAGCCCTTAGTGCTGTTTTTGCCACTGGTTTGGCTGTACACCAGAAAAACAGAATAGCAAAAAGAACGTTTTATTTGAAGCACATATTGTGAATGGCCAAGATTTGTACTTCTGAGCTTGGAAATCTTGATCAATGTCATAATAATGACAGTAATAACAATGGTGATCTTTAAAAAAAAACACAGGAGTCTCCCACACATTTATCTGCTTAGCTTCCTCTTTAAAGCTTGTGTTGACACAGTAATTCCAGCTTTTTCTCATGTTTCACTTGATTTCCCCATTTAACTGAGATATCTACTATAAATTCACTATCCCATAATTATTCTACATTGTAATAAAATAAAATAAAATAGCCTTTAAATGGAGGGGATAGGGAAGCCAGGAAATAATGATTATCAAATGCCAACTCTGTTGTCTTGCAGAAGATTATGATGGTTCCATCAGTATCCACAAAGAATCAGAGAAATTTCTAGTAAAAAATGGTGAATTGATACTCTACTACACTAATAGCAGGAGACATTACAGCTAAAAGGCAGCTGGATGCTGGATCCAGACTGCCAAAATTCTCTCTGCAGAAAGGAGAGATTTATTTGAGATTGCCCATAAGTACTCCATTCTTTTTTTCTTTTCTTTTTTGTCAGTAGATGTCAGGAACTGACATTTTTGGGCCTCTTGAAAACTGCTGGGAGTTGCGGGATAATCAAGCTCAGAGCCACTAATATAGCCTGCTATGGACTTAATGTTCAACCAAGCCTCACTTTTTTATTCAGCTTCATGTTTACTTTCTTAATATTATTACAGCTTGTTAAAGATTGAAAACTTTCAGAAGGTTCGGTTGTGTTTGTTTTGTGAGTTCTCATTTAGTCCTTTAAAGAAGAAAATTGCAAGCTTTATAGGATTTACAAATGAAACTAGATCATGATTTGATAATTAGAAAAGATGTACAAATATATATATGAAGATGCGATTTTATCCCCAGTGAGGTTTAATGGACTTTTTATTAGGATTGGATGACGATACTTCTAAAATTTTGTTTACCTGAAAATGTTATAAAAGTGTAAAAGGAAAGGTTCAAAGTGGGCTAATTAATGTAACTTGTATAATATATTGTTATTACAGATAATCATTAACATATTTTTACTGATTAAGATGGAGTGAAGTTTTAAAGATTTTATTATAGAGGATGAAATGAGATCTAGGATGAAGTGATTTTTAAGATTATGGTGATAAACTGTTAATGTTGACTATATTTGCTGGGGGGGGGGAAAGAGAGTTTTCTTTTTTTTTCTTTTTCCATTTTTTCTTTTTCTGCACTTCTTTATTTTCATTTTTTATTTTCTCTTTCTTTTTTGCATATTTTTATTTAGTGTAGAGCAGGGGTGTCAAATTCATTTCATCATGTCATCGTCATGTGACGTTTTCCCTTTGCTAAACTGGCATGGGCATAGCCAGTGCATGACACATCTGGCCTGCGGGCTGCAAGTTTGACACCTCTGGTGTAGAGTGTTAATTGTATTTGAATAGCATCATCCTTGGTAAACTAATTACCAAAAATTCAGATAGAATCATGGAATAGAAAGGGGGCATTTTTCTAACAGTCAATCATAAAGCAATAGAATGTAATTGCTAAAAGAAAGTTCTACTTCAGTAATATGTTTTTAGTTCAGCCCCCTGTCCAGTGTGGAAAAATGCCAGACCTCTGAAATCAGCATCAACTTCCATTAATGAAGAACCCACCTCTTATTTCAGCCTTTGTTCCCTTCTTAAACTGTTCTTCCAATTAGGAATGTTTTCCTGATGTCAAGTCAAATCTACTTCCTCGTAAGTTAAACCCACCCTTTTTTGTCCTTTCCAACTCTGAACAATTTTGCTATTTTTCTATATTAGGGGTCTCCAATCTTGGCAAACTTGTGGACTTTAACACCTAGAATTGCTGCCTGAGGAATTCTGAGAGATGAAGTCCATAAGCCTTAAAGTTGCCAAGTTTGGAGACTCCTGTTCTATATCATTGTCCTCAGATAATTGAAGATAGCTATCATGTCTCTCTGCAGTTTTCTTTTCTTCAGGCAAACATATCAATCATCTCTCATCATTGTAACTCCTTCCAGGTCCCACAAAATATTGGTTGCTTTTCTCTGGACAGACACTCTCTGAACACCTAAATCCTTTTCGCATGAACTGTTGACTAATAAGGTCCTTTCCATCCCACACTCATGCTGTTTATTTTTCCTATCCAAGTGCAGAATGTTGTATTTTATTTCTGCAAAGATTCATTTTGCTGGTTTTTGAACAATGCTCCATCTTATCAAACCTCTCTAAATGTTGCCACTCTAAATCTAGAAAAGACTGTCCTTTAAAGTGCTGTTTTCTCTTATTCTTGTGCTGTCTGCAGATTTGATAATATTTATTCTAAGCCCTTATCAAAATCATTTATAAATATATTGAATAGCAAAGAGTCTAAAAAATCCCTGTGTTATATGTTGCCCAAATTTCAGTCTTGAAACAGAACCATTCACAAAACTCAATTCTTTACCTACTCTGTATCTGTCTAATAGAAACATAGCCCAGTACATTTTTCATGTTCCCCACTAGAATCTCAAGGTAGATTTCTTGACTGCTTTGCTGAAGAAAGCATTCACTATGCCTACCACATTCTCATGGTTACTTTTATCAAAAAATCAGGTTGGTTTGTTGTGATATGTTTTGTTAAAGTTATGCTGGCTCTTGCCAAGGGATGTAGTATACAATAACCTGAGTCATACGGCTCATCTCATTTGAAGATAGGGACACTTGTTCTTCTCTAGTTCTGTAGCACTAGGCTTATCCCTCAGGATTTTTCAAAAAATCATAGAAATAGGCTTCAAATGACATTGACAAATTCCTTCATGAGTCTCAAAAGTAATTATTCTAGTTCTGGAAATCTGAATCCAGGGGTGGGATTCTACCAGTTCGCACCTATTCGCTAGAACTGGTTGTTAACATTCTAAGTAGTTCGGAGAACCGGTTGTTAGAATAAATTACTGGCCTAATCCTGTAAGGAAGGCAGGAAGGAAACATTCGGGTGTTGCCTCTCCATTAACCCTTATCACATTCTTGGCAGGACTAGACTTCCTGTCTCAGGAACGTCTCTGGAGTTTTTTCCCCCTCCTTTGCTGATACTTTGCTTGTGTGGAGTGACCATTCAAAGTTACAATGGCACTGAAAAAAGTGACTTATGACCATTTTTCACACTTATGACTGTTGCAGCATGAGAGGCCAGACATGAGCCACAGTCATGAGAGGCCAGACGAGGAGATGCGTGCCTTGATGTGAGTGATATTGAGTTGGCCAGACCCAATAACATGACCACCAAGCCATGTCCACCCAGTCATATGACCATAAAGCCATGCCCACCACCTAAGCCACACCCACAGAACCGGTTGTTAAAAATTTGAATCCTACTCCTGTCTGAATCCATTTGTGGTCACCAGGTACTCTGGAATAAAGTCTGCATTTATTTTGGATTGTTTCAACTCCAAATGGTCTGTTCTACTTGGAAATCTGATTCCATTTAAATTCTTCTGGGAATCTACATTTTCATCTTTTTAGATACTAAAAGAGTGCTGTCGTATGATCCAACCCCCATCTAGTTATCTTGTAAACTGTAGATTTAATTTTATTGCTTCAAAAGTAACAAAAAAGTGACATATTTGGGAAATTATGAGATCCCGAAGTTCTTTCTATATGCTTTTAGATTCCATTTCTCCCTGTAGACCTGTGATTACATCCATAAACTATATCTTTCTATATGTGAACCAGATTCTAATATGCAAATCTTCCTTCAAGAAGAAAATATAACAAAGCAGCAGCAGCAACAATGACAACAACAACAACAGCAACAACTGGCATGCTTTCTTCACCTGGTGGATAGAACTTAATAACAATGTTATCAATATTTCATCTATTTATTTATGTATTCATTCATTCATTTATAGTCTGCCTTTATTAGTTTGTAAATAAGTCAAGGCAGCAAGCATACTTAATACTCTTTCTATTTTTCCCATAATAACAACCCTGTGAAGTCTGAGATAGAGAGCTGAGGGCTGAGATAGAGTGACTGGTCCAAAGTCACCCAGTCAGCTTTCATGACTAGATGGGACTATACCTCATGGTCTTTCAGTTTCTAACCTAGTAGGTGTCTCTCTCTACCAAACAACAATCTGTTAATGTTACTTGAAATTCCTAATTTCTCTTCAGTGTTGAAGTACCTGTAATACTCTTAAACTTAATAACTTGTTTGTAACAAGTAGAATTCTACAGCAGTGGGAGCAGGATTAAAGTTGGACAGCCTGAGTGGGAAACAACAAGGAGTGATTAACACTGTAGGTGAATCTGAGAAGTTGAAAAGACTCCCCAAAAGAAGCCAGTGACACAAATATCTACATTGTTGCTAGAAAAATTTACTTTGGCTCAATGAAGTCCTTACCTTTCAGCAAGCTAATCAGTCCTGGAGGATGAAAGTCTATACAGGACCAAAATAATAATAAAAAAACCCCATGGAATTGGTACCACTTTCATTTGGGAAGGAGGGAGTTTTTGTCCTATTTTTCTTGTTTCATTTTGCTTGCTTGGAATGATGTTTTCCACCTCTGGCACTTACATAGTTTAGAGAGTAATTCTGATATACCGGGATAATACAAAAAGAAACTAACCTGAAGATTGTTGAGAAATCACAGAATCCCCAAGGATTCCCTTTGCCTTTTTCTGAAAAGTATCCAATGTTTATCTGTTTTTGAAAACTCAGGGAGACAAATGTGAACTCTTTACTTACTTTTTACTGGGAATTATGGTTCTTTTTTCATTGTGTTCCTTATGTTCCTCTTTCTGTTTGATACTTTATATTTGGGGAGGATTAATATCATGTGTTTCTTTTTTCTGCTGTCAGCTAAAAATGGTAACAAGAAAGGTGAGAAAAACAAGAAGAGCAATGAAAAAACACCAGATGGCGACTATGAAAGGCGAAACACTGATAAAGACAGCAGAGAAAGTAAGTGAGAATGATTAAAGATTTGTTTGCACTTCTTTTTGGGGTGAACCCTTTCTTGGGACAAATTTTAATGAAACGAGAAGCAATCCCAAAAATAAATATTTGATCTTATGGAATATGGAGATGATTCATTACAGTGGTTCCTTTATAAATAAGAACTTATCAAATTTCTTTGTGAAGTGTAAGAAAAGCACTTTAAGGTTAAAATGGATAAATGTGGGAGAAAGTGAAGCTAACAAGCAAAGGACTTTGAGTGTTTTGCTCTAGATTTATATACTGATTAAATTTCAGAGGAATAAATCAGAATAAGACAGATCTCAAAGGCATCCAGATCAAAAGGAGTCAAAATTCAAACCTTCACAAATGATTGGGCAGTGGTTTTTTAAAAAAAATATGTAGACACAGACAATGCTTTTTTAAAGTGGAAAGCTTCTATGGAACACAAAAAGCAGAGAAGATAAGCAGGTGGAGGAGGAAGGGGGAGTAATTTTGCAACTGACAGCTCTAGCTTTTAATTGCAGTATCTGGTTTAAAAGGATCTCCCGATTATAGTGATCTGTGTTGAAGAATGTTGACTGTTGAAGTAATATATTATATATCTACTGTATCAGTATTTCACAATCAGAAAATAGGAATGTGGCTATTTCAACCCATCATATTTGGCACACTTATTTTTAGCTGTTCCTCTCTGCCTGTTCCAACATACATTCTATCCCTTAACCCCTAATTAAACAAGATGGTATTAACTGGATGCATTTCCAGGAATCAACCTTTCCTTGCAGAAGTTTCTGATTGCACAATTTAAGTTTAATCCCGGCCCTCCAGCAGGCTACTTCAAGTTATCAGGACAGTACAGGAACCAGTGTTAAGTCCTGAGTCTGTTGTGCTTCTAGGAATACAGCTCTCAATTACAACTTGCTGTTCCTTGTTGGCAGATGAGCATAAAGATGTTTCAGGCAATCAATATATGTGCCTTGAGGCTAGGAAGAAGTGCTTCTTCTATCTCTCAGTTTTACGTTGGGTTTAAAAACCCTCCATGTACTCATAATGATGGCAAGCCAACACACCATTTTGTACAGACTTCCTCAGCTTGTCTTATTGTATCATACTGGTTTATACAGGGATTGGGCAAAGATAGGAATAAGGAGTAGGCTCCAGTCCCCTGGTTAAAAACCCTATGCAAGAAAAAATAGCACTGTGCTATTGCCTTGGCCCCAACACTTTCTATTTCTATGCTGAAGGGTCCAATTTGCAGAAAACATCCTTCCCCATTCTTGCAGCAGGTGGAAGATGGGTCAAGGCATAATAATCAGCATAATTCCCCATATGGAAAAGTGAGGAAAATTGGGGCAAGGAAAGCAAGGGAAGAAAAACTATGGATCTATTATAAATGAATAGAAATCCGGGTAAAACATGGTGAAGATGCACTCAATTTTGATTTATTTATTATTTTAAAATTAGATTTCTATGTCACATGTTGCTGCCAAACATTTTCATATTTGGCACAGTCAAGGGATTTATATGGCCATCCACAAAAGGAAACACATGTGAAAATTCAGTCTTTCATGGTGGGAATCAGAATATTAAAGTGCATTAGCTACTATCAAGTACAGGGAAAAAGGGGGACATAAAAAGAGATTAAAGTTAAAGCACAATAAGTTTTTGGTTAAATCCAGAAAACTGAGTGAGGAGCTAGTTCTCTACTCTTTAAAAAAAAACCTGTAGCATAAGTTGACCTTTACTGTGTATTGGCCTTTTCCATAAATTAGTAGATAGTATGCTTCCAGACAACTGCATATATGTAAACATTCTAAATATTAAGGGTGCTCTCAAGCATAACAGCCATTGCACCAGAAGAGAGAAAATATCTGCTTTTCAAAAACAACAATCACGGAATTTGGTGATTTAAAAAAAAGTTCTTTCTCTCCGTACAGTGGTAGCTTTATTAAGGATGACAGTTCTGCCCAATTCTTGTCACCTTTTGAAAATATTCAAAGTTTCATTATTTTCTGGACATGTGCACAGTAAACTATGCAGATGCTAACATTTTTGCAAAGGGTTGGGATTATTTTATAGTTGATTTGTGTATAATATTTAGGAAATTAATATCAAAACCTGCAGCAGAGGGAAACAAGCAGCTGGGATGACTGGACAGCCAATTATTCCTCCTTTAATCTCCTGGGAGATTAGATTTTATAGATACATTTTGAACTAACTTTGACCCTTGTCTAAAAAGCCAAAGCAACATAAGGCTATGCCAAACATTTATCCTCCTCTCACCTTTTGAGAAAGGAGAGAAAATAGTAAGGAGCAGGAGGAATCTCCTCCCTCCTCTGGTTTTTAAAGAAACCAGAGCAGCAGTGAAGACACTGCTACCAATAAACTGATTCTTGGTTGTATTGTGAGCCATGGTGGAATAGTGGTTAGAATGCAGTATTGCCAGCTGACTCTGCTCACTGCCAGAAATTCGATTCTCACTAGCTCTAGGTTGACTCAGCTTTCCATCTTTCCAAGATTGATAAAATGAGGACCCAGATTGTTGGGGGCAATATGCTGACTCTGTAAACCATTTAGAGAGGGCTGTAAAACACTGTGAAGTGGAATATAAGTCTAAGTGTTATAGCTATTGCTATTGTGATAATGGTGTCAAAACATTATTATATCTTGTCTCCAGTTCACTCTATGTTTGTCTTATAAAAGAATTCTGGGTTTGTTTTGATATAGCACAGTATTTACATGCATGCTTTAATTAACAAGATAGCTCAGTCTAATTTTTATGATCTTGTATAAGTATATTTAGATCATAATATTGTATTTTGGAAAACCAGCAAGAAATAAAAATAAACTTATTACTATTCTATCAATTTATATCTATCTATCTATCTATCTATCTATCTATCTATCTATCTATCTATCATCTATCTATCTATCTATCTATCTATCTATCTATCTATCTATCTATCTATCATCTACTTACCTACCTACCTACCATATGTATCTAATCTACCTACCTACCTACCTACCTGTCTAGCTCTCTAACTATCTATTATCTATCAGTGTAGGACTAGTATTGGAGAGATTCAAGTTCTAGGACTCCCTTAGGTAAGGAAGTTGGCTGGGTGATAAGGACTCTCTCTCATCTCTAGACCTGGAAGTCCAAAACCATTTATTTACTACCCAACACTAAGCCAACATAGTAGATTATGGCCCATATCCTTAAATGAAGAGATCTTCAGTTTAGTTGATTGCTACAAGTTTTACTGCTCGCAGGAGAACCTCCTCCTTAACTTTTCTTTTACTGATAAAAATGAAAAGTAAATTATCTTTAGGGCTGAATTTCAGAACTGTGATCCACCTACCGTACATGCAACCAAGTTAGAGGCTGATTTAATAATTTGAGAAGTTTGGTGCATTCAGATTTTCATATTAACTTATTCAATGTATTCTTCCTGGATCATTATAGAATATGAAATTGGAAGTTTAGTATTTAAAGTAATCAGAATTCTGCAGTTCAGTTATCTAAATAAAAATACAATTTTTGGATTGCATTCATTTGTAATACAGGAAGGAAGTACAAAGAAGTCAGATACAACAAAGAATTTGAAAAATGAAAAACTACACAACCAGATTTGAAAATGTTAGAACCAACAGGAACCATTGTTTATGAGTAATAGAGTATCTTCGTATGCTAAACTATCCACTGGTTTTCTCCACTATTTTGCTGAAGGAAATTTCTTTTCTCTATAAGTGGAGATTAAAAGTTCACATAATCCTATGATTAGCTGCCTGTTTCTCTTTGAAATAAGAGCAGTGTTCATTAGTTACTAAGATAATAAAACATGGATTTAGACATAATTTATTAAAAGCTTTTTTATTGCATCCTTGAACCTTGGTTATAAGCCGTGGAATAGTCTAGCACCAAGAAAATTGAAAATGCAATCTTATGTATATGTGCCACAAATCTCACTAGATCCTTTGTCTTGACTACAAGTGGGTGTGAAAAAGACTTTGCACCATAATCATCACCATATTTTAAAATATACACAAATCCACTGTAGTTAAAGCTTATTTCACAATCCTATTCTTCCTTATATAATTAAGGTTTTTAATTAATATAGCTAGAAAAACTGAAAAGAACCAAAATAACTCGAGATATTTCAAGCTTGACATTTTAGAAGCTGAACAAAAAAAGATTTCTCTTTTCATCCAGTGTGTTAATAAAATTGAGGTCTGTCTGAACTGAATGTTTGAATATTCATTTTTTGACTTTCTGCTTTAGGAAAATTGTTTTGAAGACTTACTTATGAACATGCTGGCTTATTATCAGGCATAGCTGTTCTAGTAGCTGTGAATGTTTTAGTAATGCTTGACTTAATCCTGCCCAGAATGGCAATTAAAATTTGACTTGCCAATTGCCCAAGCATTTACTTTCCTGTTTTGTGAGATTAGTTATTTGCTAATAAGCTGCTACAGGATAAGTAAATTAAAAACTATATACCTATAGTAATTCCCTAATTCATATATTTATTATTTGTTGCATGCAATGTTGAATGGAGTTGCTGCCCTCCCTCAACTGTAGAGCTTAGATCTGTATAGAGAAAAGTGAAATTGGGGATAAGGAAATTGTGAAAGACACTATAAGAGAGAGAGGGTCATGTTTGCTGAATGAAAACACCTTATTTTTGAGATACACCTTGTTCTTAGTGACATAATGTTGAATCTGGGGCAGAAATCAGATGAACTGGACAAATTTCCTACATATTTGATCCAGTATGCTAGATTTCAATAACATATATGTACCAATAACACATCCCTAAATGCATACATCATCAAGGATAATGTTTAGCATTTCTGGTCTACTCTAAAGCTCTAGGCATTTTCAGTTAAGCTGCAGTAGCATATGTATGCCTTGCAGACATTTCTTTATGATAGGGATTTTAAATAATTTCTTATTGCTTTTAAAATAATAACAAAAAAGGAAAGAAGCAAAAGGAATAAAA